TGTATTATAACATTACTATATGTGTCTTAACTATACCGTAGTTATTTCAGTCTACAATTGATCATTTTCCATTGAACCCATTGTACTCAAGCTGCAGTATCTCAGTGTATGCTGAAATTGGTGTTGCTAAAAAGCCACTTCATTGTCCTATTAAACTTATTGGAGTAGATCCTTCAAAAATTGTCTACATCAACAAATCACCTCCTGCTCTTCCTCCATCAATGAGTTAGTAATAATTATACCTATCTGATTATACGTCATGATTATGCTTGTGTATATTAGACAGTACTAGTTCAAGCTCCCCTATTGCTAGTATCAGTCAAACCAGGAGAGAGACTGAAGAAGGTATGGTTGGTATTAACAATAATAATAACACTGATCACTGAATTTTTATCATTCATTAATAGGTACATTTAGATCTGATATTGCTCATAGAGTAATGACAGAATGCACTGGAATGATAAAGGAAAGGGTTGGTCTGTATCCACTGATAGACAGGCTGGTTGAGAAGAGGATGATAAGTGATGCTGGAAAAGGTCAAATTGTTGATACCAGCACTGGACTAACTGCAAACTATAGAATGGACGAGCTACTTAGTTTAGTTAAAGCATCCATTAGAGAGGATGGAGAAGATTTTGGTTTGTTTCTAGAAATAATTAAACAAGAGAATACAAGAAGAGCTGATAGACTAGCACAAAGACTATTGGACAATTATAAAAGATTATCATACATGTAATTTTTGATTTTGAATAATTAATTTTTATTGATTCTTATCAATTTATTGATTTCATCAGAGCAATTGCTTTTTAAAAATTATAATACAGGACAAAAAAAAGAAAAAAATGGGAAAATATTTTGAGTATTCTCTTTTTGGATGTACATGTACAGTTGTCATAGCAACAGCCATTTTTCTTAGCATCACTACTGATCTAGTTGTTAGAGTAATTCTTCTACAGAAAGTAGAAGGAGGAAGAGAGAAAGGATCAAGAGAGAAAGAATGGAATGAAATCATGAGAAGTAACAAGTCTTACCCTCTTTGATGAAAAGGAGCATACATGGGGTACCCCACAAAAAAAGTAGCAGTATACCATAACATACATGTATATATAATGATAACAATAAATAATGTGTCATGTAATAAGTAAAAGAAAAATGAAAAAAGAAGAATACAAGAATGGGAAAAAGAGGAGTAACAGTAATGAAGGGAAGAGTTTAATAAGAGAAGAGATACTATAAGGAGGGGGAGGTATTGCCGGTAAGCAGTAAGGAGCCGGTAATTTTAGAGGAGGAGTAAGTCATGATAACCACTGTCTCTGTCAATGGACCAGTCTGCCAGTGTCCATGTATTGAGAGTATGAATTAGTGGAAGAGGATGAGTATAAGAGATAAGGAGTGGTAGTAAGGTGGTCCTGTATATATTGAGTGAGAGATAGTCTTGCGGTGCAAGACCACGCTCTCCGTAGGCGTGGTCTGGCACTGCAAGACTAAGAGAGAGGAGGGAGAGAGAATGAGTGACGAGTGAGAATGAAAGTAATTGATAGAAAGGAAAGGAAAAGGTGACTGCATAAAGTACAATGAAAATGAGTACAATAAAAATAATATACAACACCATTTCTCATATTGTACATGTACATAAACAGTACATTTACATTCGATAAAGTATACAAATGCATTTCTCATAACTCAAAAATTTAAAACTAAATTTTCTACATCAATATGTATTTTAATAAAACTTGGAGTGTTTTAGGAGCCATATTAAAAAAGCATGTGCCATAGTTTTATAGTAAAGAGCATTTTTATAAATTGGTAGATTATTATAATTGCAAATGACTTGATAAATAATTATTTTTAAAATTAAAAAGTAAACAAAATTGCCACTATCAAGCCTGATTTTATGGTAGGCTATATAGTTCACACATTAATTGCCATCTAATGGTCAAATTAGGAAGCACTAAATGCATCATCAAATTACCTAAAATAAAGTCCCATTAATCTATACTAAATGAATAAGAAATAATATATTGCCTATAATTGGCCTAGCCATTTCCAGATGTACATGTACATATAAAAAAAGACCTTCATTCCATGCACTGAGTACAGGCCAAAAACCCTGTATTATAATAGTGCAGAGACTTTGGTCAAATTTTGCTACAGACAAATTCTTCCAGTTTTATAGTTTTGTTGCATATACTTGGTACTTATGCTCCTTAAAAAATTTTGAGTTTATTTCAATCAAATTAGAATTGTTTATGAACTTTTAAAGCTGCTTCAAAAGCTATATGCTACTATAAGGCTTGTCAATTAAAAATTATGAAGCAAGCTTTGTGGGAAACCCTGCATTAAGCCTAGTAGTACACAATATAAGATTTGCTAGTATAAACCAATGGAATGCTCATCAATAACGCAAGAGTTGACCTTTGGTCAATTCATGCAATTGTGTACTAAGCTTATTAAGTATATGCACGTACATGTGAATAAAAAAGGATCGAGCTTTAGTGACTGTGAAAATTCAACCATTGACACCATGCAGCAGCACATACCTTTTTAATGCATAGTGTGTTGTCACTATAACTGATCTGTATCACTGATTATAATGGATTACATCCAGTTGGTGGGGGAGATCCTGTTAGTAAATCAACCTGTGATTCATCACGAGACGACATGTGAACTGAAACTGTTTCTACAAACTGTCTCAATTTATTAGACTCCAAAAACAACAGCTCCTACTGTAAACAAACAAAATATTTCTAAAAGCTAGCTGCTACTAAAGTGAAAATAAAATATGGTGTATGGATAATAATGTACATAATGTTATAGTATAAATGCTATGGAAAACACCAATCTACATTACACGTATAACATTACTCTAATACATGTACATACATGTACATATACTTTATTTGTACTTCACCCTGTGGTTTCTGTCCCTCGTACTTCTCTTCCAGGATGATGTGAATTAAATTCTTAAGCAACTACATGTAGTCCCTTCATATTATGCCTCCGCCTACAAGTACAGATGTAACCACACCACTCACTTACTGTTCCAGTGGAGAAAGGTGTTAGTAATAATCTCTTGTTATCATCATCATCAATAGTGACTATAAAAATAATACTGAAAAATATGTAATGATGTCAGATATTTAAAATGCTCATTAAAACTTAAAGTAAAAGAGGTTTGGTCACCTGAATAATGTGCCAATTTCTTTAAAATCCCTGTTGTACTACAGCCAATGCTTGTTTTGATGCTGAAATAGCTTAAAAATCATCTTCCTATTATATCAATTTTTCTAATGTATATTGACGTCCTTATGCTACATGTAGTATAGAAAAATTTAGTTAATTCTGACTTCAATTTTTCAAGTGTTGGCCATTATTAAATTAAAATAGGCCAATATCTGAAAAAATCCCTGTAATGTATAATAGCCCATGCTTTTTTCTAAAAAATTGGCTAAAAGATCATCCCCAATTTTTTACATTATCTTATGCATATTAATATCCTTATGCTATGTAGAAAATTTGAGCTGATTCTGACAAAAAGTTTTTGAGTAATGAACATTTAAAAAATGCAATTTCCAAGTACTATGCCAGTTTCATACTAGATCTAGAACCAGTGGTGGTGCCAGGTCAATGAAACAGAGGGGGCACTATATACAAGAAAGGGCACTATAATGTAGAGAAGAGTCAGTCAAGAATGGTTTGGGAGGCATTCACTGTAAAAATTTAATTAGAATTTTGTCAACAGGGTGCATGCATGGGCCTGTGCCCTCCAGGCCCTGCCCCCCTTAAAACCGCCAGTGTATAGAACCTTGGCAAGATAAAGGAGCTTGGTGACTTTGGTCAAATAATTATTACATCTAAAATGTAAATATAATAGATCTATATACATAGATCTAATTATAGTTATTTAGTACATAGTAGATCTATGTGTGATATGTAATGTATTGAAACTCATAATTATTTCAGAGCCTGTCTCCATGATGTTTGATGCTTTCCTCATCATTGATCCTTTTAGTTTCAACAACTCTGTTCAGGTAGGCCTGGTACTTGACTACTTTTTAACATAATAATTATAGTCTTGAAGGAGCTCCTGGCCGGATTTAGTGAGATCTTCATTTTCCAGTTCATCACAATCCCCACTAACACAAACCCTTTTTTGCGATCGCCACTCCCACAATCTAGTCTCACTAGCCAGACCATTCCCCAGCCTACAGTCATTGGGGTGGACTGTAGGCTGGGGAATGGTCTGGCTAGCGAGACCACCCACAATCAGGGTAGTCTATATCTAGCCTCTTTCTTGGATCTCTAGCTCTCCAGCCTCTCCATATCATCTTCTCTCCTCCTCTGTCTTTACGCTTTCTTTTTCTATTTATTCACTGTCTTCATTTCTACAAGTTTCAAAATGAGAGCTAATCACAAGGCTCCTGTGATAGGGGAGTCCCTCTACCTGTGGGCAGGGAACCAGGCTGACTTACCTGCAGTTCATGACTCTCTTCAAAAGAGGGAACTGACCTCAACAGTTGATGTCTACCAGCTTTCTACTGCTGACTGGTCCTCTCACCTCAGTAACAAGAGGTACCCCGCCATTAGGAGTTGCTGCTTACTCCTGTACCACCTCTCATTCTAATATTTACTATTTTGGCGGATGGTGTGGTCATGATATTTGTTACCACAATACATTGAATGTACTGAATACGATAAAGATGCAGTGGACTTCATGCAGTAATGCTGAACAGTCGTTGATGAAGAAAGCATATGCTGGAATGATATCAATGGAATTTGATGAAGCAGAATACCTTGTCATGATAGGAGGGATTGGTTCCACACCAACTCTTTGCCATCCTCGGTTTCAATATGATCAACTTAAGGATGGTCGTGTTCGTACTAATGAGCAGTTACTTTATAACGTGTCCACTGGTAAAATTTTCTTTATTAATAAATAGCTTTATACATGTGCATGTATACATTATTGTTTCACTAATAATTAACTGTATGATACACAATTGCGTCTTTTTGATAAAACTTAAGTTTACGCGTACATGCATCTACATGTACATGCATATGCTTCCAAATTCATAATTACAAGTATACTATTATAGCATATATATATACTTATTATTGTATTTTTAATGATACGATCATTATTTCTTCTTCACTTTAGGACAATTTACTGTTCCATCTGTCAGTGGACAGTGTTGTCTACCAACTAGTAGTTTCATAATTGAGAAGATTACTACTACCGGTAACAGAGGAATAATGGTTGGAGGTTCAGTGACTGTTAATGGTGATGAGAGCACAGCTACTAACACTGTTTACATATTCAGTGTGACTCATAGTTTAATAGTAAAGGCCTCCATACTAGGCCACATGTTGCTAGCAACATGTTGCCTAGTATGGAGGCCTAAAGCCCAACATACACTACAGGCAACATGTTGCCAGCCTTTGATCTTTCTTTCCACCTTGTTGAAAGGAATAGAAAGGTTTTCTATTCAAGGCAACATGTTGCTTGACCACATCAAAGCATGATCAAAGGCTAGGCAAATGTTGAAAGCAACATTGTTGAATGTTGTGTATGTTGGGCTTTAAGTATATTACATGTACTTTTGCATTTGTATATTTTGTTGTAGTAATTATATTGTACAGTAATACGTTATCTCAGTATTATCACTAGAGGATACTAGTGTTACTTTGTACTCATATTAACTGTGTTATGTTTATTATTATTAAATATTTACAAAACTCTGATACTACATGTTTTCATAATTAGACAGTGTGTGGTCATGCTCTTGTTAATAGTTTGGTATTTCATATTATCAAGTATAATGTGTACAAACAGATTTGTTATACCTCTAGTACTTGTACTTTAAAAATAAACACAACCACTAATCTCACCTCATTAACATAAAATCATTAAAATTAATATTAGGATTAATTTTTCCATGTCATACCCATTATTTGTATAACTGCACCCGTTATTTATATTTACGCTGATTAATATAATTAAAATTTTTGTTTATGTATCTAGATCTGGGAGATACTAAAATCAGGAGCAATACCTAATGAGGGACTGTGGCCTATGGAGAGATGTGATCATGCTGCTGCTATTATCAGTGGTGACTCTACCTCACCGACACTAGTAGTAATTGGTGGAACAAGAAGGAATCAACTAGTTAATGAATGTTTGTTATTTGATAGTATCACTACTGGTCAGTACAGTTGTAGGAAGGTATGTGTGTGTATAGTACTGTAATGATGTGTGTGTGTATAGTTAGGTCAGTTCACAGTGTGACACTAGTACTGATATTAGATTAGTAATTGCTAGTATGTTAAGTAAGCATCAATATGATCACTATCACTGATCAAACATGAACAATACAATAGAACTACCCACACATTTGATTTAAAATCACTTCTTATTTTGTTTGTACAATTAACTCTTGATATTGGGAATATATACAATTACACTGTAGTTCTTCACATATACATGTATCACATGAAATGTTAATTTTGTTAGTGAATTAGAATTGGTTTTGCATCTACAATAAATGTAACAATCATCTAAAAATGATGCAATTTTTGATGCTATGAAAAATTGTATCATTTCAATTAATGATCATTGCATTTATTGTAATGTTAAAATCAATTCTAATCTACAAACAAAATGAAAATTACTTGTATACTTATTTTTATCTACAGATTCCTCTACCTGAATCTGTTACTGGTAGATACTATCACTCACTCACAGCAGTCACAATGTCACCACACTGTGTCTGGCTAGTAATTGTTGGAGGATTTGAAGAGTTTAAATTGAAAGATGTTGGAGGAGTGAAGAAGCCGATGTGTACATTTATCACTGATACTAATAGACTAATAATGATAATTGAATTTGGTGAGATAATATTAAATAGTAGTAATGTAGAACATTAAAGGGGTGAGCCTAAGCAAGCCATACGTTAATTCTATATGCTGTCTGATCTACATGTATGAGCAAGTAAAGCAATGTACATGAGTAGTCCGTATCTTGCAGTTGAAAAATGTAAATTTTCTTTATCACTTCATCGCTAAAGAGTCTTTGCAGCAATTAAAGAAGACAGTACATCTGCTTTGTTAACTGTCTTTGCTGCTAGAAACAATCACTGCATGCACAAGCAGCAGAAATTAGCAACGCATGCAGCTTTCTCTCAGCATTCATTGTCATTTAACTCATCTGAGACAGAGTCACTCAACAAATCATACTTGAAGAAGATTGTATATCTGATTTGTTAACCTAGGCTTGCTGCTAGAGAAGAAACCTCACCAAGAATAAATCTCAGTGCATGCAGTTAGACAATACATGCAGCTTTCTCACTTATATTCAACTTATCAGAGTCCTTTATATTATGAAAAAAGATTCTATACCTGCTTTTGTAACTTTCTTCTTGCCAGAGAAGTCTTTGAACAGCAGTTTAGTCTTATCTTGCTGACCATTTGCTGCAAATAAGCTCAGACTTGCTCATAGCCGCCATTTTATTCATTGTGACCACACCCACTTTCAATGAAGATGAGGCTTGTTAATTTTAATAATAGTTAGACGACCCTATCCCCATACAGATGTTTTCTCGTCTTGGGGCTCGCCCCAATTAATTGTAACGATATGAGCATTAAATACATAATTATGTATATTAAATATGTCACTCATTTTTACATGTACATTATTTGTAAGTTTCAGTTCCTATAATTATGACGTAGATTTTCCATTCATTTTGTACATTATACTGTACACACTATACAGTACCTGTATGAATATTTTATACATTGAATACATGTATTTATAAATATATAATGTATTTTATTGTCTCCCAGTATATAGTGAATCTGGTGAGTGGATAGTACAGTCAGTACTGGATGCTAATGATCTCACTAGTAAGAACTATCAAAGAAAGTATCAATCATATAACAAGACCAGAACATGGTTGATGGATCAGCTAATAGAATATCCCACAGAGAAGGAAATGAAACTTCAGAGATATATACGATCTTTACATCAAGAGCTACAAGTGACTCATCAGAGTAAGGTATCACTACAGGAGGCACTGGTTAAGGCCAATAAACAAGGTACATGTATACATTATATATACATGTAGGATACTACAAACTTTAACTGTACTTATGATTACTATTACATGTATGTACTATTGTGTGGTTATTTGTAGTGTGAGTGTGTGCTAGCTGGTTTACATTATGATGCTAGTGGATTACACAATGTTTATTATGGAAATAGTATCCTGTACTCAATATACATGTACATGTAGGGCAAATTGTCAGGCCATGCTCCAAAAATAATGACATTCATATACTGACCTCTGCTTACCATAATTTGTAACAATCATGCTGCATGTACATGTACATGTATTTTATTGTTAATGTAGTGCAAGTTTGTATTAATTCCAAATAATGCTTTGTACATTAGTTGGTTGAACCAGTCATATATTTATCTGTTTAGTCTCTGTTGTTTTATTATGCATAATATTATATTGTATAGCATAAAACTTTTATGTCCCAAAAATTTTAAAAATTCACCCAATAAATCTATTTTGGCACAGCTTTCATTTTCATGAATTTCTGCAGTTCAACCATGTTGTCATTGAACCGTCAAATTAATTTTTGCTGATTTTATTTTTGTGAATTATTGATAAAATGCAAAACTTGTGAAAATTTTGGGCCACGAAAGATTTTAGCTATATGGTACTCTCTTCTTTTATATGATTCTTCAGTCAAAGGTTATGATAGTGATATTATGAGCAGTGTATTAGAAGAGATGAGACAAAAACAGGAAAAGTTGATTAAAGAGAAACAGATTATTACTGGTTTGTGTATCATCAGTTCATAATATTAGATGAGAGAATATTCTATTAATGTAGAAGATTATGAGAAACTTAAAATCAAAGTTGCTGATATGGAGGAGAAGGAGGAACAATATCTCAAGGAGAAACAGATCAATACTGGTTAGTGTATCATCATCAGTCAATAATAATTATTAATATTCTATTAATTTATAGACCTTAGAGCTAAAGTGTCTGATAATGAATTGTATACAACCAAACTAATGAAGGAGAAGTCACAACTACAGGAGAGAGTCACATCCTTAGAGGAACAATCCATCAAAGAGACTAGTTCCATTGCACTACAATTTAATTACCTGATCCCTGCAATGGGTAAGAGTATTATTGTGTGATTAAATGAGTATATATAAGGTGGTCATCCAGCTTATTGTCAGTGAATTGTCAAATTCCTCAAAAATTAGGCCAAAGACCCTATACTATATACAGGCCCTTTTTGTCTATAATTACAAGGAGAGCTAGAATTTTAGTTCTTCATTTTTATTATGTTTTCTATAATTATGTATCAATTTTGAGCTGATTTTAATCTAGTTTGGATATTTTATGAATTTTCAAAGTTGGTTAAAAATGATGCAGGCCAACAGCCACCTTTAGTCTTTAGCCACATTTCATTAAAAATGGCTAGGAGAGAATTCTCCATTTTTATAATTCTTTCTGATGCATACGTGTTCTTTACATGTAATTTTGAGCTGATTCTGATCATGTTTGGATTTTGTATAAATTTTTAAAAGTGGCTTAAATGGCCGTATACTGTATTGTATGCTTGTTAGCTCATGAAGCATGCTGTTTATAGCTCACTTAAAATGCTTTGTGGGAAACCCTGACTGAATGTATAAAATTGTGTATGTATTCACTACAGTATATATTTTGTATAATTGACAGATAAATTGGATTGTCTGAGTGATGTCCAGGTAGCAGAGAGGAAGCTGTTTTTAATTCAAGGAGACAAACCTCAACTGATGAATTGGGAGAAATATGGTCTAAGGATTGGCGTACAAAAGGAGAGCTTACTGTCCTCTGAGACAGTAGAAGCAGCAGTGGTTGCTCTTGTAGGAGGACAGTTCCAGTTTCCTCCTAATACTGTCCTAGTCAGTGCTGTGTATGCAGTATCACTCTCAAAGCCTCTCCTCAAACGGCTCATATTAGAAATACAACACTGCATTGATTTAACAGGACGACCAGCTCTTAGTCGTCATCTCAAGTTTGCCATAGCTCCTGTGAGCACACCCAGTCTTCCTTACCAGTTTTTTATAGTTGAGGGAGGAGAGTTTAACTCTGATAGTTGGTATGGATCTATTCAACGTAAAGAGTTCTGTTTGGTAGCTATTGTTGGGGAGAAATATCTACCCAAATCATCAACTAATGGAGATGAGTCAGAGGAAGAGGAGGAGGAACAAGAGGAAGAAGCAGAAGAGGAAACTGAGGAGGAAGTTGTAGATGGTAATAGTGATTCATCCAGTGATCCTGATAATACTAAAGATCCACCAGGATGTAGCAATGGAGGACAAGGTGAGTATTGAGTCAGTCAGTGTATACTAGTCAGGGTTTTATCTACTGGGGGGTGGGGGGAAGGTTCTACCCCAAACTCAATATCTTCCCCCCCCCCAAATTTTAATGAAAATTTTCATAAAGTGTACATAAAGGTACACAATTGTGTACATAAAGTGTACATGATTGCTCTGTAAATTACAAATTTATTGAGTAAGCAATTGCATAGTATTACTGTAATATAGTCAGTATTGCTTCTACATGGAAGTTTACATGTACTTCCCCCCCCAAACCAAAATTTCTAGATAGAACCCTGCTAGTATATAATGAACTGAGTTTATTTCATGCATGCCCTCTATAGGAGAGTCTACTAGTAATGAGGGAGTAGAGGAAGAGGGGGAGACTGGAGGTCAGCCATTACATGAGGAAGGAAAAGAAGAGCAAGAGAATGAAAGAGTAGAAGAGTCAAAGGATCATGAAGAACCACAGCATGAAGAAGCAACTGCTCCAATACCTTGTACTGAGAGTAGTTTAGATTTTAATAGTAAGTATTGTGCTTACATTAACATTGACAGCCAAGATTAATATTTACTATTATTATTATTATATTTGTGTATAGGTAAAATGGTTCTTTCCACTGGCATAGTAGAGAATATGACATATGCTGGACAGGTTTATTATGAGGAGAAAAGAGCTAAAGAATTGGTGACCTTCTCTGCAGCCAAGAAATTGAGAGCACTCATTGAGGTACATTATGTACAAGTACATATACATGTAGATATTCATTTCTATAGTTCATTGAGAAGAAACGTGTACAAGCTGAAATTGATCAACATGTTTATTTTTCTTTTATTCCTTCCTATTCATATATTGAATTAAAGTTTGATGCTCCACAAAATGAGTCATTCACTGGTTGGAGTATTAAGCCTCACCTTAAGCCTTGTAGAGTAAGTACTGCAATATAATGTGTTGTTATGTGTATATTAATAGTTACGTCGTTGTGATGTTGATAATTTTGGCGATGCTACTTATCCTGTTCCTCCATCTTGTTTAATATCAATATATGGATCATCTGTAGCTTTATCATCACTGCATTACTCTGTACCACTAGTGGGTGTTGTTGACCCAGTTACATTGCTCATTCATTGTTCATTGAGAACTGCTCCTCCTCTTCCTCTTCCTTCAAAAAGTAATGGATAAATCATTTCAATTGTTTATTCCTTTAATACTAATCAGATCCTACTACCTCCTCCTCTACTGTAGTACATGAATCAACTGCACTATCAAGAGCTAGTAAGTTGATATTGACATAAAAACACTAATGACTGAACTTGTATTATTAACAGGTACATTTAGATCTGATATTGCTTGTAGTGTAATGACAGAATGTACTTCATTAATAAAGAATTGTGGGATTGACATTCACTTTTTAGTGGATAAGTTGTTGGAACACAATATTATAAATGCAAGAGAGAAGAGAGGAATAACTGATGGCTACACTAAACAAACTGCTGGTGAAAGAATGGATGAATTGCTCCACATCGTTTCAAGCTCCATTTGTATGGAAGGAGAAGTATTTGGTATATTCTTAGATATACTCAGAGAGGAAGGTACTAGAAGAACTATTAAACTAGCTGATAAACTAATAGAAAAATATAATAAAATTTAGCTTATTATTGTTGTTGTTGTTGTAGTTTTGCAGATTGTTGATTTTATCAAAGCAATTGCTTTCTAAAAATTATAACAAATGAATACAGGACAAAGTAAAAGAAAGAAAAATGTAAAACGTTCCTGAGTATCTCTTAATGAATAATACATGTACATGTACAGTTGTCATTGCAACAGTCATTTTCCTCAGCAACACTATACTGATCTAGTTGTTAGAGTAATTCTTCTACAGAAAGTAGAAGGAGGAAGAGAGAGAGGATCAAGAGAGAAAGAATGGAATGACATCATGAGAAGTAACATGACTTACCCTCTTTGATGAAAAGAAGCATACATTGGGTACCCCATAAGAACGGTAACAGTATACCATAACCTAATGATAACAATAAACAATGTATCATGTAATAAGTGAAAAAAGAAACAAGAAGAATAGAAGAATGGGAAAGAGAGGAGTAACAGTATGAGGGGAAGACTTTAACAAGAGAAGAGTCTACTTACTTGATATGGTTAAGGTCTTCAATAGTATTAACTAATTGCAGAGAGATACTAAGGAGGGGAGGCATTGTAATATAGTAAGGAGCTGGTAATTTTGGAGGAGGAGTAAGCCATGACAACCACTGCATGTCTCTGTCAACAGACCAGTCTGCCAGTGTCCAGTATTGAGTGTATGAATTAGTGGAAGAGGATGAGCACAAGTGATATGGAATGGTTGGTGGTCATGAATAGAGAGACTGAAATGCACAGTGTATATATAGCTAAAATCTAATATGCCATTTAATTGGCAGAGAACAAAATTAAATTTAGTGATACACACTAATTGCTAATTCAAAGCACAGTGTACCTGTAGTCTGTGTGTCTGGTTCAACATAATTTTGAGGATAGCCTATATAAGAAAAATAATTCTCAAAAATACATTAATAAATAGTAAGATGCATACTCTGTTCAATCGGTTGTGAGGCAAATATATTGTGTTTAGCTCCTATAAATTAAAATAATTATGTTATAAATCATAAGCACACTACACAGCCAAGAATTATCATGCTGATACAGTAGTACTGCCCAAAGTTAATGAATCAGGTCTGATTACTTAAGTGATAC